GGGCCCCAGCGACCATTCATCTACTTTCTGACTGTGGATTTGCTTATTCAGAACTTTTCACATAAATGGAATCATTTAACACTTGGCCTTTTGTGCCTTTCTTCTTTCATTGAGCAAAATATTTTCAAGGTGCCTCCATGTTGTAAATGTAGTTAGTTGGCTTGTTTTGTTTTGTTTATGGTACAGAGGAGTGAACCCTGAAAGTGCTGAGCTACACCCCCAGGCCTTATTATTTTATTTTGATCCACCTGCCTCAGCCTCCCGAGTAACTGGGATTATGGGAATGCACCACTGCGCCGGGCTGGTTTTTTGATATTTATTTGACAAGCTGTGTCTGAGCTAAATTTTTTCATAGTTGTAACAGTTTGCCTATAGATGATTTTGTGTTTTCCATGTAGACAATCATAGTATCTGTACATAAGGCCAATTTAGTTTCCTCTTCCTCAATTTTTATACCTTGTTCTGTCTTGGAGATTTATTGGCAAGCCCCCTGCCCTGGCAAGAACCTTGGGTACAATGCTGACTGGATCTGTGGGTGAGGGCAAACCTGTCCCTGATTTTTTGGGGGGGAAGGTACCAGGAATTGAACTCAGGACTTCACGCTTGCAGGTAGGTGCTGCTGAGCTAAATCCCAGGCTTTGTCCCTGGTCTTACCCAGTGTGACCACGGCCCCTTTAAGAACAAGCCTGCTCGGGACTTCACAGATACTTTTCCCATGCCGAGGGAGCTCCCTTCAGTCCCAAGGGTGCCGAGGAGATATTTTATCACATCTAGATGCTGACGTTTATGTCCAGGGCCAATGTGGTCGCATGACTTCTCTGCCTGAATTGGTTCACGCGATGAGAAGATTTCTAGATGGGAAATGGGCCTTGGTTTTCTAAAACAGACCCAGTGTGGTCAGGCTAGGTAAAAACAACCAGGAGGCATTACTGGGTTGGTTTTGCTATTTTTTGTTTGTTTGGGGTTTTTGAGACAGGAGTTTGCTATGTAACCTGGGCTGGCCTTGAATCCATGGCAATCCTCCTGTCTCGGCCTCCTGAGTGCTAGGATTATGAGTGTGTGTCACTATGCCCATCTTCATACTTGCTTATGTAAGATTTCTGCATCTCATCCCTCGAGCAGAGCTGGTTCCTTTCAGTGAACCTTGTGGGTCTCTTGTCAGGGGGCCTCTCTGTCCCCTCCTGTATACTGCTCTGGCTGGAAGCAGTTGGGCCAGGGGTGTTTCCAAGGGTGACAGAGGGTGGGAGGCACTGTGGGACCCCAGAGGCAGCACAGAGGATGGGAGAGCTGTGACCCTGGGACCAGGCAGGGTCCCTCACTCCGGGACCCCTCTGAAAAGGGAGGCTTCCCAGAAATCCTTCCTCCTGGCTCATCTGAGTGGCCCAGCCCCTCCCCCAGCCCTCCAGAGGAAGTGGCCAAGCTGGGCTGGGTCAGGGGTTGTTGACCCCATTATACTCTGGGCTGACTGATGGCCAAGCCCCAGGGGGCCCTCCCCCACCTCCCCATGCTTCATCATTGCAGAGGGGTTCCCGCGGGCCTTTGATAGCCACCGGGGCACCCGGCCAGCCTCTAGGGTGGGCTCCAGCCTGCTGAGACCCGCCCACCCATCCTCTCCCCACAACCTCGGGGGACTCTGAGGATGAGGGGGCCCAACTCTCCCCCCACCCCCTCGCAGCCACTTGGCACGCGGCTGTCCAGGCCCAGCCGGGCCTCCTGGGCAGCCCAGCCCTCAGAACCGAGGTGCTGGCGCATTTTGGACCGGTAGCTCAGTCGAGTGCCCGAGCAGATCCTGGGACTTCTTCGCCTTGTGCCAAGATGGGCCCTGTCCTGGAGTTGCGAGGTGAACGGGTCATCGTCTCTCCCTGGGTGGCTTGGCGGGAGGGCTCTGCGTGAGAGCCGTAACCCCAGAGGAGTGCTGGGGGCCAGGAGGAGATGCTGCTGGGACTGATTCTCAGAGGACGACAGGAGTGAGACCAGTGTGTGGGCAGCAGGGAAAAGCATTCCAGGCAAAGGGAACAGCATAGCAGAGTCCAGCCAGCACGGTGCGTGTCCGCGGCAGGAGGGCGGGGGGCAGTCAGCCAGGGCCCGGTGTTTCCAGGGTCAGACGTGCATACTCGCAGTCCGTCACTTGGGTCGGGGAGAGAGTGAAAAGCCTGCTTCTGAGCCCGCCTCCGTAGCCCTGCTCACTGGGCAGAACCCAGTGAGCGCTTGCACGACAGTCATTCTGTGACAGCGGCCCCTGCAGGCCATGTGCGGTGCTGCCTGGCCCAGCTCTCCGGGGCCTGCGCGTCGGCGGGGTGCCGGGCTCGCCTCACCGGGGCCTCTGTCGCAGGAGGCTGGGGCAAGGCTGTGCTACACTGTCAGGTCCCAGAGTGGCCAGGCTGGGGCGAGGCAGAGGTGGAGAGAGGTGGTTTTCCACAGTGGAGCCCCGGTTCGTAGCAGCCTCTGGGAGCCCCGTCAGTGCTGGATAGCCTACCTGGGACTTTTTAGGGGACAAAAGCAGACCCTGTGGGTGAATTGGGTTTTCTGTCTGTGTAGTAAGGTGCCTGCTTCACTGGTTGAAGCTCCTTGCCTCAAGGTAAAAACAGAAATACACTCCAAGAACTCTATAAGAGGACGTTCCAGAGACATCAGGTTCTCTCTTAAATGTGGAACAGTAAACTGGCCTAGGTGGCACACACCTGTAATCCCAGCACTGGGGAGGCTGAGGCAGGAAGATCGCTGTGAGTTTGAGGCCAGCCTGGACTACACAGTGAGTTTAAGGCCAGCCTAAACTGCATAGCAAGACCTTCTCTCAAAAAATAAAGAAAGAAATAAAAATAAAAGACAAAGCGCTAAAAATTTAAAAATCACTCAAATTCTACCACCCTGAGATGATGAAGGTTTTAATTTTCTGTATTGCCTTTTAGGGGTTTTTTTATACATTTTTAAATGAATTGAGCTCACAGCATATAGTTTTTTAAATTTTTTTTTAGGTTTTTCTCCGGTACCGGGAACCGAACTCACGACCTTGCACTTGCCAGGCAGGCGCTTTTGCCGCTGAGCTAAATCCCCAGCCCC